GGGCCGAGGACGAGGGCGAAACTCACCTGCCCATTCACCGAGCCCCGGTCCAACCCCAGGCTCGCGACCTAAGCCCCAGACCTGAAGGGCCGTGAAGAGCGAGTACGAGATGCGTAGGGCCAGGTAGGCCACGGTGCCGGCGCCCACCCAGTACAGGAAGCAGGCCGCAGGGAGAGCGCTCTCCATGGCTTTCAACCAGGCCTTACAACCCTCGTGAATGGAAAAAAAAAAAACTAATGAATGAATCCTGGAAGAAGAGCCGGCCGTGACGGTGAGGACGAGCCTAATAAGGAGCTGCTCTGACACAGTATTTGCCTAAGCCCCGCCCACAGCGCCATATCCGTGCCGCCTTTGGCGATCTGTTGTTTCCTTTGCGTGTAGTGCGTCAGCCATTGGCTAACTCCAGTTTCACTTCCCACCCACATCCCCTACCTCCCGCGCACGGAGCGGGGTTTCCGTTCTAGGGAGGCTGATCACCTGCCAATCAAGATTCGGCCCGCCCCCAGGATCTCAACTAATGTTCAAAGTCTCACCCCGCCGAATAACCCAGGTCCCTCATTGGCTGCTGGGGCGATTGCGGAAGAGTGCCCTCCGATTGGCCAATCAGGCCCAGCCTGAGCTCGGGTTGGACGGGGGAGTGGGCTCAGAGAAGCCGCTAGTGAATGGGCAGGTTGTATGTAGTAAGAAGTAGGCGTGGAGCCATGGTTTTATTTCCGCCTCTTTATTAAGTGCTTTATCGTTGTTAAATGTGCTGTTGTTTTTCCCATGGGCTTTTCCAGATAAAGTCTTGCATCTACTGTTTCCGTGCCTTCCCCACAGCACAGCTTCGCGCCGGTGGCACCACCTTATTGAGGGCCTTCCGAGCCCAGGCCTCCCTCCCGCGCTTGGCCTTAGTTTCCAAAATCTTGGAGTTCAAGGCAAATGGCTTCATGGAGACACGTAACTAATACACGAGGACATAGAGCTGTACGATGAATGACAGATATAGGAACACAGCTTGATGAGCAGTTGGTTTTGGGAAGGAGCTCCATGTTTTAACTGGGTCTGATAGAGATTTTTCGTGTGCTTTCCTTTTTTATTTCTTTTGTTGTTGTTGCTGTTGGGGGAGGGAAGTGAGTTGTGAGGGGGCACAAAAGTGTGCAGTATGGGAACTACGTCAGCAAAGCTCCTGAGGAGTGAGACCATAAAGTAAGTTTAAGAAATTGTGTAATGCAATAAAAAGCTTCACACTTACCCTCTTATCATAACTCCCATCAAGTTTTTGTTTCCTCTCCTATGCTCACTTGATTCCAGCCACACCTCTTGCAGTTTCTTTAAGTCAAGTTCAGTCCAGTCTCAAAGCAGTTCTACTTTCTGTTCCCTCTCCCTGGGACCTTTGCCCTCTATTTAGCAAGGCGCACTCCTTTATATTATTTAGGTTTTTGCTCAAACATCCTCCCCCTTAGAGTGGTTTTCTCTGACTGCCCTACATAAATATCCCAAATAGTCTCCTCTCCTTTGCCCTATTACCACTTATTCTTTTGCCCTAACTTGTTTTTCCCAAAGCACTAAGTGCTTTCGAATTATTTGGTTTTTCTCCATCTTCCCAATAGAATGTAAGTTCCTGAGAACAGTGACCTCTCCTTGTTCACCATTGTATCTCCACTTAAGATGTGCACCTAAGAGTACCTGAAACTTCCTAAGTACGCAATAAAGACCTTTTGAATGAATGGTGAGTGAATAAATGAAAATAGTCTAATGGGAGAGACAGACATCCAATTGCATAATAAAAATTATAATAAGTATAAAGAAAAGAATAGGGCTTAAGGAAGGAGGGTAAAGGGAGAAAAGACTGCTCTGAAAGGTCTTTCTGAGAAAGTAGCATTTGAGCTGAGATCTAAGGATAATTGGGATAGAGGAGAGGAAAGAGCAACAAATACTTTTGTTGTGGTTTTAAAAAAATATATGTGCCTCTAGCACATACCATAGCATCTGGCATAAAATTAAACAGGCATAAAAAATTATTGATTTTCAATTTTTTAATAAGGACAGCTACCTTAGAAATGGACTTTCCATGGATGTTAGAACTCATATTAAGTGTTATTTTAATTAAAGAAATATTGAAGATTGAAACCATCTCATTTTTGGTATCCATTCTTTTTCTATAAAGTTTGGGCACTACCCATGCAATTAAGAGGAATAATCTTTATTTAAAATGCATTATTTTATTCTAATCACCTCAGCCTCCTTTTAGCAATAACTATTTGATTGACTCAAACTAAAAATAGTGACTTCATAGAGTGAAGTGATATGAATCAGAGTTAAGCTTTATGGGTTCAGATGGTTACACATTTCTAGAATTGAACAGCAATCCTTTGTCTCTGGTTAAATTTATGACCCACTAAAAACTATAATGCATATAAGAACCTATAATGATGCCCTACTCCTACTTAGCAGTATTCTGTGCTAAAATTTAACATATAGACCAGGGTTCCTAGAAATTGACAAAGCCATACTAACCAAATATGAAACATTAATAGCTTTCCAAAGAGAAAGCAATATCATAAAGCTCTTTCTTCTGGTGTCAGGTAAATCTGTGGCCAAATCCTGATTCCACCTTTTATTAGCTGTATGATTTTGTGAAGATTTAGCTACTAAACATTCAAATTCTACATCTGTAAGATGGGACATTATTACTTAAGTATTTAGAAACAACTGGCAGATAGATGGTGTTAGATGAAGTAGGTGATAGTGGGAAAGGGCATGTAATAAGAATAGAGCTGCAGTCGTTTAATAATCATTCACCTTACTAACCATAGATAAGAAGTTTTCTTACAGACCCTGGGAAACTGGAGGATGAGACAAGGCTGTAAAATGATAAGATGCCTCCGTAAGTCCATCACTCAGAAAAGAAATACATTTTGAGAACAGACCAAGGACAGGACACGCTTTGATTTGGTTGCTGTTCCCCGGCCCTGAACCCCTCCAGGAGTTTGCTTCAGGAATGCTGACCATTCTCCGGTCCCAGGAACGGGCTGTGCTGTTTGTAACATCATAGATTAGCCACCTGGTTATCGGACTTTGAGCTCCTGAAGGCCGGACTGCAGCCCCTCCCCTCCCCTTTCCCTGTTACACTTGCAGTTCACAACTGCACATAGTTATCTTCTCCCTCACTGGTATATAATCAGCCAACTGGCAAGAGGAGTCAGAGCAGAATGTCCAGAGTGACCAACTGCTCTCCCATTTTTGCCGGCAATAATGGAATAAACACATGTGATTCAACCCTGTCTCTGCTTAATTTGGCTCAAGTAGTGACAGGTGGCCTTGGACCCCCTGTGTCCGCTATCAGTAAGTTCTACTCTTATCCCCATTTTAAAGATGAGGAAACTGAGGCTTAAACCATTAGACAGTAGGTGGCAGAATTGGGATTTCAACTAAAAAGGTGTGGTTATGAAATCCTGTCTCAAGAACTACTCAAAGAAGGCAACATAAAAAAATGGTTAAGGGAGAGAAGAGTCTCTAGAAATATTTGGTTGTTACACAAATAACACTCAGACACAACACTGGATTTCATTCTTATTTATTTAAAAGATTTAAAGTTCAGAGTGATCTTTAACATGGAAAAATGAGAATGAACAACATTGTATCATATTAGTAAACAAATGTTCCCTTTATCTTTACATTCATTTTCAATATTTCTGTAAATTGACTTTCAGATCAGATTTTCATGGTGAAATCAGGGTTGTTCAATGTAATGAAAGAAAATTCCACAATTAGGGAATTACACAGAAATGATAAATTTTTAAGACTACTAGAACAATAGAGCGGAATCCTTCATTTGGCTGTACAATAAAACTTACATGTTTTTACCAGGTCAGTCTTCTATTTCATCTTCATTTAAACATGGCTCAAAATACTGCACTTGATCTCTCCTTTAAGTTCAGTTGAGAAGGTGTTCAGTCCTGGGATAAACAAATAATAGTGCCTTGAGGAACATGCCAATTCGACAGGAAAAAATATTTGGCATTACAAATTGTGTGGTTTCCAAAACAGTTAATACTTACTTTCCTTAACAAGCAATATTGCCATAGAAATGAACATTAACATTTATTATGTTTCAATATTGCATTCTCAATATTCTCAAAGTGACTTCACATATGTTATCCCGTGCAAACATCACAATAACACCCCATTGCTTAAGAATCCTCTGGTGCACTAGACCTGGTTCTAAAACCAAGGCATCTGCACTGAAAATCCAGGGCTCTCTCTACTCTATTACTTTTTTTATGAGAGGAGTTAAGCTCACATTTCATAGACCCTCCTGTAAACATATATGTTTGGGCAATACCATACTTCCGGACAAAAAATTAAAAACTGTGGGAATGTTACATAAGCAAACCTAAAGTAAATAATATATGGTAATTTCAGAAGTTTTTCTTCACCTGAATGTTTACTTTAGCAATGGACTCAGAATTTGCTATCTGTACCCAGGTATTTTCCCCAGAATTTGTAGCTAGTTTAATTTCTATTACTTTTGCCTAGTTCTTTTCTCCTTTCCCTTTATTATATCTGTAAATACTTCAGCATGTACCTCTAAAATTATACTATTTAACTGTAATACCAATCCCCCACCTGAAAATTTAAGAATAATTTTTGGGGGATTTTTTATTGTTCAAAATATTACAGATGTCCCTTTTTCTCCCCATTGACCCCTTCCACCCTGCCCCACCCCTCTCCCCAGTCCCTCACCACACTATTGTCTGTGTCCTTGGGTTATGCATATATGCATATAAATTCTTTGGTTAGTCTCTCCCCACCCACCTCCACCTTCTCTGAGATTCGTCAGTCTGATCCATGCTTCCATGTCATTGAATCTATTCTGTTCATCAGTTTATTAAGTTCTTTAGATTCCACATATAAGTGAGATCATATGATGCTTATCTTTCTCTGCCTGGCTTATTTCACTTAGCATAATACTCTCTAGGTCCATCCATACTGTCCCAAAGGGTACGAGATCCTTCTTCTTTACAGCTGCGTAGTATTCCTTTGTGTAATTGTACCACAGCTTTTTCATCTACTCATCTACTGATGGGCACTTGGGCTGTTTCCAGATCTTAGCTATTGTAAATTGCGCTGCTATGAACATAGGGGTGCATATATTCTTTCTGATTAGTCTTTCCGGATTCTTAGGATATATTCCTAGAAGTGGGATCACTGGGTCAAAAGGCAGTTCAATTTTTAATTTTTTGAGGAACCTCCATACTGCTTTCCACAGTGGCTACACCAGTCTGCAATCCTACCAGCAGTGTACCAGGGTATCC